AATAATGTATGATTTCCTTACTTTCAAATCAAGGGGGTAATGTTGGCGTATATAATTTTTTTTTTGGGGGGGGGGTAAAAGGTAAAAAAGTTCCCTGACCCCTGCAGTAGAGTTATCCTGAATGGTTTATTAAGCTCTGACCCAGAAGAGAAGAATTCAAGGCTGGTACATACCATGATAGGAAGCTGTCTTAGCTGCTGAGTCAAACTGAGTTCATCTAGTCCAATGATTCCCAACCTTGGGTAAACCAGGCAGCGCAGTTGGTGGTGAAGGCTTCTGGGAATTGTAGTCCAACAACACCTGGGTTACCCAAGTTGGGAACCACTGATATAGCCCAATATTGTCAGCTCTGACTGGCAGCAGTTGTTAGTGGTTTGGGACATGATTCTGTCAGCTCCAAATGGAGGTCTTGGGGATTAAACCTGGTATATTTTTTCGTGAAGAGCATGCATTCTACCGAGCATCGCTCCTTCCCTGTTGCTTGACAGTATATTGAACGTTGTAGCTAAAGGATCCTGGTGGTGTTGACTTCTCTAACTCTCTCCCCTGCGCCTCCTTTCCAGATTTTGAACTATGTAGGGAAAGTAAAAATCAGAATAACGTTGGTCACCAAGAATGAGCCATACCGGCCTCATCCCCATCGTCTTGTTGGGAAAGACTGTGAAAACGGTTACTATGAAGCCGAATTTGGACCGGACCGCCGAATTCTATGGTAAGTAATAGATGTTTTTTCTGTATGACTGGATGCAGAATTGGTCTGTCAGATCTTCAATGCCTTGAGCAGGGCTTTGGGCTTGATGGCTTTATCAGCCCTTTCCAAATCAGTTATGATTCTATTTTAAAGGTGAAAACAAAATAAAAATAAGAAGTACAATAAGTCAAAAAAAATAGGGTAGCACCTAAAGGATTAACTTATATACAGTATATATATATTTAATATGAGCTGTATGGGTTTCCGTTGTATTTGCAGTCATTCTTCAAGCCTGCTTCTCCAGCTTAAACAGAGAGAAAGGTTTTACAACTGTAATTCAAAATGCTGCAGCCAGACTGCAGATTGGTTGGCTGCTGGTTATAGGGAGCATGTAACTCCCTTACTACAACAGCTTCCTCGCTAGCTGCCAGTCTGTTTCTGGGCCAAAATTAAAGTGCTGGGTATTACGTATAAAGCCCTATATGGCTTGGGTCCATGCTGTTTGAAGGATCAAGGTGTATCATTGATTTGCCATCAGCTTTCTTGTTTTCCAGACTGTTGACCAAAACAAAATACATTTTAGGAGGGATAAATGTAGAATTCTTTATAAGAGAAGATAAAATGAAAAAGTATAAATATAGGCTGGGTGACACCTGGATTAAGAGCAATGTGAATAAAAAGGATTTGGAGTCTAAGGTAATTAATAGTATCACTTTAATCTGATTTTGTCAGACCCCCACCTTGAAGACTATGTCCAGGTTGGAATGCTCCAGTTTAAGATACCAGCAAGCTGGAATTGGGTGCAAAGGAGGGTGACCAAGATCATAAAGAGTCTGGAAATCAAGCTTGTGGGGGACAGTTGAAGGAAGTGAGCATGTGAGCATTCTCCATAGTGCCTGAGGGTAGGACAAGAACCAATGAGTGGAAACGCATCAGAGGAAGATCCAACCTGGAAATAAGGAGGAATTTCCTGACGGTGAGAACCAGCTTGCTTCCCGATGTTGTGGGTGCCCAATCGCCGGAGGTTTTCAAGAAAAGATTGGACAGCCATCTGTCCAGGATGGTATGAGGTCTCCTGCCTTGGGCAGGGGGGTTAGACTAGAAGACCTCCAAGGTCCCTTCCAACCCTACAATGATTCTATGATATGATTCTGTGTTTCACTTGGAGAGGAGAAAACTGAGAAGCGATAGGATAGTGTCTTAAAATATTTGAAGGCCTGCCATACGGAAGATGGAGCCAGCCTGTTTTCTGTAGTTCTAGGGGGCAGGACCTGAACCAAATGTATTCAAATTACAGGAAAGAAAGTTATGACCAAACATTAGGAAGAACTTCCCAATGGTAAACTCTGTTGGATAGTGGAAGGAATGTCAGAAGTTGGTGGACTCAACTTTCTTGGGAAGCTTTAAAACAAAGGTTGGATGCCAGCCCAGTGCTTTGATCTGTGAACTCCTCCATTGACAGATGATCATTTGACTCTTCCACACATGCCATATGTGCATGTTTCCGTGATTCTGTGAATTGGCTGTGCCATTCTGAGAGCTTGAAAGAAGTCCTGCATGTAAGAATTTGTCCTTGCAGGTCCATCATCCCCAAAGATGTAAGATGGTCAGTTTACCATCTTCTGGAAGAGCCGGGAAGCCTTGAGAACAGCAGCGCCCAGGTGGCTACGGCCAAAAGTCTTGTGTTGCAATGTGTTCTAGTTTCTCCTATTGCACATAGATCTGTCTTGAATTTGACTTCCTATTTTGCGTCCTCCCATGTGTATGTGGGGGGCGGGAGGGCAGGACAGGGGATGATGTCATGGGTTTTCCATGTGGGAAAGAATCAGGTTGCTGAAGGTGGGTGGGGGAGTCCCCTGACAGTTGCCTTGTGACCCGATACTATGACATGCAAATTTGCAGGCGCTACTGCTTGCTACCGCGATACAGTTATCTGATGAGACTGGAAAACTTCTGTATAAAAGCGGGCCTTTTTCTTGGTTCACTGCTGACCCCCCCTTTTTTTGAAATCTTTGTGCCAATATAACTTCTCTCTCTCTCTCTCTCTCTCTCTCTCTCTCTCTCTCTCTCTCTCTCTCTCTCTCTCTCTCTCTCTCTCTGTGTGTGTGTGTGTGTGTGTGTGTGTGTGTGTGTGTGAGAGAGAGAGAGAGAGAGAGAGAGAATGTTTCTTGAGCATGGAATCAGAATGATAGCTATGTCTGAAGAGCAGTGGTTGGGGAAAAATACTTAATGGGGATGGTAGTATCCTTTTCACTTCTACCACTTATGCCAGTCTCTTCCATGAGTGATTGTGCTCTTAGGCAACATGGACAACAGACACTTCCTTGTACAACAACACAAGCCCTCTTCTAAAGAGGCTGAACTACAGAGGATTATGATGCAGTAAGCATCAGAGATGATCCAGAGATCCGTGAAGGGAAGGTTGTACTCCATTTACTCCTAACTTCATGGAGTATAATTCCCAGCGGCCATGGCAGGGGAGGGATTCTAGAAGAATCAGTCCCCAGAAATCAACTTCTGTAGCTGCCGTTGAAAATGTAAAGGAAGATGCACATCTCTTTGTAAAAGTAATGTATCAGCTGTTTTAGAACCCTGGAATAAATGAAGTGGCCTTACTCTGAGTCAGACGGTCTAATCCAGTGCTGTCGATTGGCCAGCAGCAGTTCTCCAAAGTCTGAGACAGGATTCTTTCCTAGAAATCTCAGGGGCTGAATCTTATTCTTTTCCTACTCATGTATTAGTTATTTGGGGGAAGAAGATGTGACACCCAGAGCTACGATTCTGTGCATACTTACTACAGAGTAATCCCCATTGTACTCAGTGAAAAAAAAGAGGCTTTTTGGATAAAATAAGGCAGGGCTCTGACCATCTTTCTTTCTTGGTCAGGGCAGAACTAGACCAATGATAACATGCCCATGGGTCAGTATAGCTTGCTAGCAGCCTCTGTCCAGGCTCAGTAGCAAGGATATAAACACTCACTGGTCTCAGTCTTGTGTGCGATAATTTTCTTTCCCTTGCCTGTGAGATATTTTCATTGGTTATGGCTGATCATTTCCAAAAAAATGATTTTTGCACCCATGATGCACTTTGCACAAATTCTACAAATGGCTTGTGCAAAGCTATGACCGCTGCTGCTTTGCTTCTTGGACTTAGAAGCACTGGATGGGTTGTTTCTATCTCATCGGACAGTCGGCTTAGTCCTTCTGTGGTTTAATACATGTGTGTGCGCGCACTCTTTGCTTCTTTAAGTAAAAGAACAATAGTTTTACATAGAAGTGTTTTTTCAGATTTTGAAGACTTTGGACTAAGGACATAAGATCGTTGTGTTCTCACACTCAAAGCAAAGAGGCTTGGAAATTCTCATCAGGGTGTCTTGTTGATGAGTGTACAAAAGAAAATGGTGGTCGGAAAAGGCTGTTCTAAAGCTTTATTGTTGGCTGTCAGAGTGTTTACTTCATTTAAATGTATTTATTTAAAATACGTTTATCCCACCTTTCTCCTTAAAAGGACCCAAGACGGGTTAAATTAAAATGTAGTGACGCTTTAGATGTCTTTTGCTGTTGATTGTGCCAATGGCCTCCTGATCCTGATTTCCTCATAGGCCGAACAGAGTGGCTAGGCTTTTAGTGGCAAAGCAGACGGATAGATCACATCAAGATCAAAAATTCTCTTCAGGTTCACAGTGCTGTCTGGGGAATTTGGAGAGATGTAGTCCAAAAATGTAAACTTGTGCGCTTTTGTAGGGAATCTTAGCAGAGCAGGTTTTGACCCAGGCCAGGGCAAGAAAATGTCATCAGCATAAACGTTTCCTGCTGGAGCAGCAAGAATACAGCTGTTGGTACTTGACACTGATAGGGTATGAACCTGCCTGAATTGTGCACTGGTCTCCTCCTCGGGTTGAAGGAAGATTAGGCATCCTTCAGCCTCTAGAGACTATGGTCACGTGCTCTGAATGGAGGACTTGCAACAGCATCTAGTGTGGCTGAGAAGGCCAATTCGAGAGTGACCATCCCTTCCACACTGAAGACAAATACAAATCTGTTCCCTGTCCAGCTTCCTGATTTGGCTGTTTTCGGGACTGCCTCTTGGCCTCGGCCTGCTGAACAAGGGTCTCTTCAAATTGGGAGAGGTGATGCACCGCCTGCCTCCAGGCTGAACGCTCAGAGGTCAAGGTTTCCCATCTGTTGAGGTCCATTCCTAAGGCCTTCAGATCCTGCTTGCAGATCTCCTTGTATTGCAGCTGTGGTCTCCCTCTGGGACGCTTTCCCTGCACTAATTCTCCACACAGGAGATCTTTTGGAATCCGACCGTCAGCCACTCTCACGACATGCCCGAGCCAGCGTAGACATCGCTGTTTCAGTAATGTATACATGCTGAAGATTTCAGCTTGTTCTAGGACTACTCTGTTTGGAAGTTTGTCCCACCAGGTGATGCCAAAAATGTGCCAGAGGCAACACATATGGAATGTGTTCAGCTTCCTCTCCTGCCATGCATAAAGGGTCCAGGACTCATTGCAATGCAGGAGTATGCTCAGGACACAGACCTGGATCTTGGTACCAAGATCCAACGCAGGTTCTATAGACCTGGATCTTGGTACCAAGATCCGGTTGAAGGAAACAAATGAACAAAAATAGGCAGGCTGAGTGTGAAACCAAAATAGCTGTAACCCAGCATGTCCTCTCCATTCCTTCTCTGCTTAGGCCAATCTCCTACAACCCAAGCTTAACCAGTAGGGTATCATTGCCCCAGTTGCCAAAATTGTAGTTATGGCCAGTTTTATTCATTGATCTTGTATTTGTGTCTTACAAAGGCATATGGCTAACACAAATAAAGACACTTGACTTGCTAGTTCCTGCTCTATAGTGAGAATGGATCCTACTGTGATACTTTTCAGTCTAATCTTGTTTATGGATACGATAAATTGGTCAGAATTAAAACTTCCACAATTCATTTTACTACCAGTCCCATAGTGGTGGCGCAATTTTGTTTTATTTTGGTTGTTAGTCTTCAGAGTCCTAACTGTATGTGTATGCTCCAGTTTTCAGAACCTGGGTATTCAGTGTGTGAAGAAGAGGGAACTTAAAGAATCCATCATTTCACGGATTTCAAAGAAGATAAACCCTTTCAATGGTAAGTGATTGCTGTCAATGGGCTGCTCAGATACCTTGAATGCTGGATATCTGGTATCTCTCTGGTGAGTCGGGGAGAGATAATCCAACCAGCGACTGCCAGGGGTGGAAATTGAAACTTACACTTGTGACTTGTGTTTGCAGCCTGCATTTTGGAATTCAGTTTTAGGAAACAGTCTTGGTGCGGACATCTGTCATGGCTTTGATTTTTTGGGGTGTTTTTTTTCCAGCATCATCCACCACGCAGTGGTTCCCAGTCTGACAAAAACTTCTCTGGGTCAAAAGCTAGTGGGTGGATGGGAATACTGAGCAGAAAACCTGAACCACAGGCCTCGCTTCACTTACTCAGTGAACTTGGAGGGACCATACCAGATCTTGTCTATCTGACACACAATTAGGGGCTTGTGATTGGGACAGAATCTAAGAACATAAAGCACGCTTCAGGTCACAGTGGATCTGAGGCCACTGCCTTCTGTCAACTTAAGTGACCTTGTGACTCAAGTGACGTTGTGACCACTGACCAAGTGATAATATATAATGTATAATATACATTAAATATTATAATGTATATAACAAACATAGTATATATATATATACACAGTGGTGCCTCGCTTAACGATTACCTCGTTAAACAATGAAACCCCTTGACTATGAAGTTTTGCAATCGCAAAACGATGTTCTAATAGGGAAAAATTGCTTAACAATGATTGGTTCCCTGCTTCAGGAACCGATTTTTCACTACAAGACAACGATTTTAAAACAGCTGATCGGCGGCTCTAAAATGGCCGCCCGCTGTGCAAAATGGCTCTCCCCTGTGATTTAGGACAGATTCCTCGCTTTACATGAACAAAAAATGGCTGCACCTATGGAGGATCTTCGCTGGACGCTGAGGTATTTAGCCCATTGGAACTCATTGAACCAGTTTTCGGTGAACTTCAGTGGGCTTTTTTGTTTCGCTTGATGAGGATTTCGCTTAACAGCGATTTCAACGGAACGAATTATCCTCGTCAAGCAAGGCACCACTGTAAATGGACTAAGATAATTGGGATTACTTCAGAATAGACATGTGCATATTTGATCGGTCTTTTCTGTGATTACTCTGAAGAATCACATTGGGGTGTCCTTCTGGGTAGATAGGTCTGGAACCAAGCAACACTTCATGATGTTGGTAGCTAAAAAGGCCATACTGGTGCGAATTACCCTTGGCCCTGGCTGCTTTTCTTTGCCCCCAACCGTGAGGCTTGAGCCATACCTGTTGCTGAAACGCAGCCCCTCCCTGATGTTTTCCAAACTCGAATATTGCTGTTGGGCTAAAAACATCTGGGACGTTCCGCATGCAAATCATGCGCTGCAGCCTTTCCCGGAGAGCGGGGTTGCTTCCCTCCCCATGCAACGGTTACATCAGAAGAATGTCTTTAGTAAACTCTCATATGCGGAACAATAAAAAGTCTAAAGCAGTGGTAAAACACACGCAGCACAGAAGCAAAACAGCTGCATGGATTATTCTTCATCCCCTCAGTGTTTTGTTACGTAAAAATTTTTTTAAGAGAAAGCTTTGGTATTTATTCAGAATAAATTTGGTGTGCTCAACGTGGTTGTTGTGCCGTGACAGGAGCTGCATCGGTTTAATCCTGCTATTGTGCTGGGCTTATGTCTCTTTTTATTTTGCCTTGTATCCCCCAAAAATCTGTGCCAAAGAGTTCCCCAGTTGTCTGGAGAGCATCTGGAGCATGAACAGCTTCTGTCAGTGGAAGGACTTGGCCGGATTCAGGACATGTGTAGCCTGCATAACTAAATGGTAAACTGCCCAGAGAGTCCTTTAAGTGCTGTGGAACAGTACATAAGCAACACACTACAGTGGTGCCCCTCATAGCGACGTTAATCCATTCCAGGATTAACGTCGCTATCCGGAATCGTCGCTAAATGGAAAGAAAAACCCCATAGGAACGCATAAAACTCCATTTAATGCATTCCTATGAGGGGAAAACTCACCGTTGAGCGAAGATCCTCCGTAGTACCGCCATTTTCGCCGCCTCGGTAAGCGAGGGCAGCGTGCGAAAACGCTGCGGGTGGCCATTTTGTGCACCCGCCGACCATTTTGGAACCGTCGATCAGCTGTTTTAAAAAACATTGCAATGCGAAGATTGGTAAGCAAAACGCTTACCGATCATCACAATGTGATTTTCGGCCATTTAGATCATCGCAATGCGATCGCATTAGCGATCGCAAACAACGCGTCGCTATGCGAATTCGTCGTTAAACGGTGCTCTCGTTATGCGAGGCAACAACTGTATAGAAAGGGTTGCAAAGCAATAGCTTCTTATGTAGTCTTCCACAGCACTTAAAGGACTCTCTGGGCAGTGTACCATTTAGTTATGCAGGCTTCACATGTCCTGAATCCCACGCGCTGGGTACTCAATTTTACCACTGCAACACAAGGCTCCTTTATAAGAACACTGTGAGCCTGATATTATCATTGGTTCATGGAACTGCAACAAAATGTTGCAATGAAGAGAGCTCTCTTCATGCTTCTATAAAGCCAGTTGTTTCCCTGAGGAAGCCAATACCTTCTGTCTGTGCGTTTTTTTTAAAGTTCAAAATGCTAAAAGTCATTCCATCCACAGCCACTTCTATCTGTGACCGTATCAGGATGCTGTAGGCTAGCCTTGGTCCCCCTATGAAAGTGGTACCTCTCTGTCATATTGTACACTGTAAACCTCCCACAGTGCAGTTGTTCCATACCAAAACCCAACACGTCACAGGGAGGGCTGTGGTCACAATGGAAGAACTCTCTCCTTTGTGGGCTGAGCCGTGGCTGATGACATCAGTGGCAAAGTACAGGCTTCCGACAGGAAGCTGCAGAATAGTTCTGCCCACTACTGAGGTTGAGAAACCTCAGCAGATAGACACGTTAGGATAGATAACATATTCCCCCCACGCATGTGTGCCCATATTTATAGCTAAAGATGATGATGATGATTTAAAGTATGGGTTCATCCCTTTTCTACAGCCTGTGGTCTCTGAGAGATGTACAATGATGGGAAAAGCTATTTTTTAAAAAAAAAATTAGCCAGTTTATGCTTCCATAAAGAAAATCATATATGTTTTAGCAGTAGACAGATGTGGGAATGCAACCAGGTTCTCATTAAGGAGTGGCAATTTGCCAACAAGGTTTTCATGCTTTTCTTTACCTACTCATTCATTCATTCATTCATTCATTCATTCATTCATTCATTCATTCATTCATTCATTCAAAGTATTTTTATCCCATTTTTCTACTTTAAAAAGGACCCAAGGCAGCTTACAACAGTCAAAAGACAGTATTTAACATTAACAACACTGAGTATACAATACTAGAAGGATCAAAGAAATACAGTACTAAAAAGCGTAAGCAACACCATTGCCTGAGTGTCAATTAGGCGATAGGATTATTTAGTTTTTTTAAAAGACCAGATCAAAAACACTGTTTAAGAGCAGGTCAAATACCTTGTTTGAAAGCCTTCAAAGGCCATTGAAGTCTTGGGGTTAGTTGGGTTGAGTTGTTTCCGATGGAGTTGTTCCGTAACCAAACCTCTGAGCTTGTCACACGAGTTCAATGCCGTTATATACGAGAGGAGTGAGGAAACTTTGGCCATCTCATTGTTGCTCCACTTCTGCTTCCCTCATCCCCTTCATGAACATCATGAGGCTCGTATATTCCCTTGGTGAATGGGGGTAGCCATCAAAGAGGCTAGAAGAGACACCCCCCCCCAGAGGTACAGCTGGCAGAGCACCTCCCCTCTTGTGACCCTGGTCACTTTCCACAGAGTAATGCCGATGGCTATCCCTGTATCACTGCTGTAGACTGGCCACATCTCCTTCTTCATAGAGGAAAATTCTTGTCTTGAAAGGCGATCAAGGGATGGTTCCTCTTTGGGAGGTTTAAAAATTAAGAACCCGTAAGGAGGAAGATGGGAAATACTGTACCTGGATTTTGCCTGCACATGATGAGCAGCATCTAGTCTGTCGACCCCTCATGTACACAGGTCTCTCCTTGTCTCTCTTTCCCACTCAGGGGAGAGGCACTGCAGTGTGTGTGTGTGTGTGTGTGTGTTTGGCATCTATACCGCCCATCTGGCTGCCAAGGCGTCTCTGTGGTTTACATATTAAACAAACAAGACGTCAAAGAACAATTCAAAACAATAAACAGAATACTGGTTGTTCTGGGTTTTTCGGGCTCTTTGGCCGTGTGCTGAAGGTTGTTCTTCCTAACGTTTCGCCAGTCTCTGAGGCCAGCATCTTCAGAGGACAGCACTCTGTGCTCTGGTGTAGTTTGCTTGGGAGTTGAGCATTTATGGCTGTGAGATAGGCTTTTGACTGGTTGTTGTGGGTTTTTCGGGCTCTTTGGCCATGTTCTGAAGGTTGTTCTTCCTAATGTTTCGCCAGTCTCTGTTGCGAGCATCTTCAGAGGACAACCTTCAGAACAACAGCCAAAGAGCCCGAAAAACCCACAACAACCAGTAGATCCCGGCTGTGAAAGCCTTCGCGAATATAATAAACAGAACAGTTATAAAACCAAAATTAAACACAAAACACGCCAATTTTAAGTAAATCAGTGTCCTCCTTTGTCCTCTTTCCTTGGTGACGGAAGACCTCCTCATGAGTAAGTAGCCAGCCTGCCCTGGCAGAAGTTCTTCCATACCAGTCTGTCATAAATCGCTCTATTCTTTCGTACCCTCTCCTCAGTCATGGATGACTTCCTTTTTTCAGTTATACGTAATCGGTTGCTCTTACTGACGCAGAAGGTTTTCCCCATCACCAATCCTTAATTGATGCTAAAATGCAATGGATTGAATCCCAGGACGTCTGCATAGAAAATACCTTCCTTATTTATTCAACTTTATTTCTGTCCTCTGACAACATCATAAAATCAAAGAAAAGTGAAGTTGGAAGGGGCCTACAAAGGCCATCAAGTCCAACCCCCTGCTCAACGCAGGAATACAATCAAAGCAGATCTGCCAG